CCCTTGCTTGATCTAGTCCCAAAATAATGTATAGCTCTCTTTCTCAGACATCTTCTATTGTCTGACCCGGCTCCAACATACACCACCTGGGTGATCTTCCCATATGCCTTTTCTAATAGCCCCAATCTTACACTTGTCCAGGCCAAACTCCATTTCTTGTGTCAGCACTGTATTTCTTTATGGTTTAAGCAACCTGTCCAGCTCCATCTTAGTGGCAGATATTAGTTTGATGTCCATCCATGTAAGCTAGATGGCTTATTTGTAGGTTGTTCTGAAGCTTATAACCTTCGTTCTTCTTGTGCCGTCATTCTAGATAGAGGTGCTAATACAATACAGTACCATAAAGCATTAGTGCCATCTCCCTGGAAGATACCTGCTTTTAATGCTGATGGCACCGATGTTGATATTTTCTTCTTTATGGGTTATTACAAGATTAGTTTTCCATTGAGGCATAAGGTTTTGCAGCATCTCACTATACTAGGGCTGATTTTATATATTGGAGCATTTTCAATTATAGAGAGTGAGGAACACTGTCAAAGGCCTTTTATAGTCAATGTATGCAACATACAGATCTTTCTTACAGCCCCTTTGCTTCTCCTCCGTGATGATTGTATCTATTGTAAGTTGCTCTTTGCAGCACGACTTCCCTTTTTGCAGCCTTTCTGTTCTTCTGGAGCAGATGATGCTTTCAAGGTGCTGGTAAATTTGATCGCATTAAAATTGAGGTAATTATTTTATATATGGTTGGAAGACACGTAATGGCCTGTATTTTGATGGGTCGCTCACAGAAGGGAATGTTTTAGGAAGCAAGTAGGTGTTTCCCGTTGTCAGAAATGCTGGAATGGATTCTGGATCTTGCATGAGGCTTGTGCAAATCATCGCTAACGTTCGTGTGTGCAAGTGAACTTTTTGAGCCAATAGTTATGGATGCCATCAGGTCCAGGCGCCTCCAGTTCTGCGTGTTGTTTATAGATCTTTTAACATCCTCCACAGTTATGACGTTGTAGTGCATCATGGGTATTTTTTCGGTTCCTTCCGCCTTCTTCCTCTTCTCGTCCGCGAGCCAACTTGTTTATTATTATGAGTCTTGGGGTTCTCCCATAGGTCAGCCCAATATGTTAATGCATCTCTAGCTTCTGGTGTTTTACCCGTAGTACTTACATCTTCGTTTTCCAGTGAGCGATAGAACCTCTTTTGATTCGTTCGAAATATGCTATTTTGTAGTTTTCTTTGATGCGACTCTTTATATCGCTTTAGGCGATTTGCGTATACAGACAACCTTGTTGGAGCTTATCGAGGATCGTATCGGATTTTGATTATCCTCATCATGATGTCTCTGGGTTTATTGTTTGTGACTTATTTCGCAAACCGGTTGGGACGGGACATCTGACTTGATGTACTGAACAAGGGGGCCTATAGCTGCTCGTAGATCTTTTACTTTCCCTTCGATCCTCATCTGCCATCTGGGTTTTTGTTCAGTATGCTTGTATGATTGCTTTATCTTTTGATGGTGCAGTTCAATCACAGTATAAGCGCCGGCATAGATTAGGTCATGATAATCAGTTATACCGGTTATGTCACACAACTTGGTCGTCATGAGATGATTTACTCTATTCAAGATATGAACAGTATTCTTATTTGTCCTCAACCGAGGCAGTCTTGGTCTCAGAAAAGGATCTATGCCTTTGAACAGTATTAAATTCCTTTCAAAAACTGTTTTCTCTTCAGTTTCTATCTGCCTTATATTTGTGCTTTCAACTGCTGGTATTTGCTGTATCCTCTAGCTCGCGTGATGGTTCAGCCTGTCCTATTCCGAGTTCCATCTCCACTTCTCTTCGTATCCGGTTCACTTATCTATCGATATCCTGTTCGTCGTAAAGAGATGTCGTCGTTGGTCCAATATGTTCTGACGTGTTTTACTTGCTAGATCAGGAAACCTTCCAATCATGGTTTTGGTAGAGTTCGACGCTATAGGGGGTCCTTTGATGTTTCCATTTGGTGATTTTGAGGGTAGGTACGGTAGAGGTATCATTCATTATCACTCCATTTCATCCGTTTCCTACGACCTATTATCCTCTTGAGTGGGACGAGCCAATTTGCTCGGCAACACTTTCAGAGCTTCGATGTAATCGTTGTTCCATTTCATCGCCTGTGTGGTGGTAGGTCCAATCTCGGGTCAGTGCCACCTTACTTCACTGGATCCCAAGCAGGCATCATAGCCTCCTGACGCTTCCGAACAGAGTCAGCCCTGATTCTCTGCCACGCCCCAAAATGTATCCCTTCTCGTCTTTACGCGGTTAGAATCACGTTATACGGGTGTGCTAACCATGAGCGGTAATGCTAGTTTTTTGTCCACCCCAGGTATTTAATTTCCCCGGTACCCTCCATATCTGGGAGAGCGTTTCCCAATTCGCACAGGGAGGCGCCGATGGGAGACTAGCAACTCCACGCGGGGTATTATTATTATTATATTATTATATTATTATGATTATTATATTATATTATTAGTATTATTATTATTATATTATATTATTATTATTATTATTCTTATTATTATTATTATTATCTATTATTATTATTTTATTATTATTATATTATTAGTCTTATTATTATTATTATTATTATTATTATTATTATTATTATTCTTATTATTATATTATTATATATTATATATTTTATTATTATTATTATTACTCTATTATTATTATTATTTTTTTGTTTTTTTTTTTTATTTTAAGCCCACAGCGGCATCGACTGCTCAAGGCCATTAGCGCTTTCCTCCTGCCCATATGGTCAATTGCCACATTCACCACAGGGGTAAATCTGGGTGATTCGGATGTTATGTGATGTAGCTCAGATTTTTTTGAATACATAAAAAAAAGACGAACAAAATATAAATTAACTTATTACAGACAAACACAGAAAAAAAAATGTAAATAAGATACCCACATACGCGTGGTACCCTGTATTACTTACTTATCCGACACCAGTGCTTCCTTATCTATCATAGACCTACAGCTATCTAATATATTTCTACATAGTAGTATCTTATTTAATAACGTTTATACTTTACGGAAAAGCTTGGTAGATTTAAGGAAATTCAATGTATCTCCTACGTTGGCATTAGAGGATAACAACCTTTTAAATCACCAGCTATGTTGTGTGCTCTTCTAGCAGCTATGTATGATGGGCACTCGATCAGTATATGCTTCCAAGTAAGCAATTCATTACACGTCTCACACCTTGGTGGTGGATTACCTAAAAGTATGTGGGAATGTGTAAGAATGTGTGACCTATTCTCATTCGCGTACTTACGACCTGCTCTCTACGAGTCAGATGGGGAAGATTCCATTTTGTTACGTTCGGCTTGATCGTCTTCAAAAAATGGTTTTGTTGAGTTCCATTCTTGCTGCCATTCATTAAGTAGCTGCAACCTCATGAATTTTTTCACGTCTTCAGGCACGACTGGTATGTTGAGGTATTCTTCCATTGTGGCTTCCTTGGCAGCTGTATCTGCTATTTCATTTCCATGGATTCCTACGTGTGCTGGCGTCCACACATATATGACCTGTGATTTCTTCTGTTGGAGCTGGTAGGTGGTCAGAGGATCTCTTGAACTAAGGGGTTTTTACTGAATTGTCCAGAAATAGTTTGCAGTGAGCCTCAAAGAGTCACTGCAGATTATGTATAAGCCCTGTTCCTCATCATCAATCAATTTTAGGATTGAAGTATTGCGTATAATTCCGCTGAGAAAATTGAGGCCATTGGACTTAGGCGCCATTTGCGGGTTATCTCCGTAGTTGTTAATGCACATCCTATGCCCCCTTCGGTTTTAGACCCATCCGCATAAATTATTCTCCTTACGTTTTGGTATTTACCAATTATATCAAGAAATGTCTGTTTATAAATGTAGGATTGGTGTGGCCTTTTTTGTATTTGGCGCATTCGAAGTGAACTTCTGGGAAGTGACAGCCTCCATACAGGGCAATCTATGTATTTAAGACTATAGGTTGGGGGCATCTGAGTTTCTAAATCCTCGAGTAGCTTATGGATGCGGGCACCTGCGGGCTTTGTGATGGATGGTCTAGACCGATAAATTGAAATTTCTTCTTCCTCAAATAATATATTGTGGTTAGGGTGCTGGGGTGTGCCCATATTTTTACGCTATAGTTCAGTAGCAGCTGCTGTATTCTGTAGCTTAAGGGAGGTATGCCTGATTCACAAAAAACGGACGCATTCGGTGATGTCCGGAAGGCACCAATGCATAACCGTATACCCTCCTTGTGTATTCTCTCTAATCTACTTAGATGGGATTGTCTTGCTGCTGAGTATACTATTGCTCCATACTCAAACTTGGACATGACTATTGATTTATATAATGAGAGCAACACATCCCTGTCTGCTCCCCAACTGATGCTTGAGAGACATTTAATAATTATTATTATTATTATTTTATTATTATTATTATTATTATATTATTATTATTATTATATTATTATTATTATTATTATTATTATTATTATTATTATTATTATTATTATTATTATTATTATTATTATTATTATTATTATATTATTATTATTATTTTTATAGCCGTAGGGCTTTGTTACTCCCGTTAATCGGGGTGTTCTGGCTAACCCGGACGTTTCAAGCATCAAAGGGGTAAGCCTCAATAGTGACCTCCCTAGGTACTTGCATTTCCCATAAATTTTCTTACTATGCGGGCAGTTGCCAGCAAAACTCCTTTCTGTATGATTTTGTAAATGTTTTCACTCAGTTCCAGTGCTTTGATGTTTCTAGCAGCCTTCTTGGTATCACCCCTGTAGATGACATGATTATTGGTATTGTTTTCCACGTACTTCATTTTCCACTGGCGTTTAATTTGAAATTCTAGCTCCTGTATTTTGCAACTTTCTCATTATGTTTGTATGTTAAATTGTTACTATTAGGTATGGCCACATCAATCAGTGTTACTTTCTGGGCGTCCTTGTCGACAATGATTATGTCAGGTCTGTTTTGTTTATGTATTGGTCCGTAAGCACAGTACGATCCCAGTATAGTTTATACTTGTCGTTCTCGAGGACACATTGCGGTGTATATTTGTAGTACTGTAGCTTGCATTCGATCAGTTTGAATTTGTATGCCAACTCCTGGTGAATGATTTTGGCAGCTATGTCGTGGCGCTCCTTATAGTCCGTTGGAGCAAATGCTTGGCATCCACCAATTACGTGCTGTATTGTTTCGGAGTCCTGACAGCCGTACCTGCATTTATCAGACTGTTGCAAGTTCTTAAGTATGAACCCTCTTGTAATTGTTGGTAGGAATGACCTGGTCCTGTATAGCTACAAGGAATCCCTCAGTCTCAGGGAACATTTGGCCTGAGGTAAGCCAATAGTTTGACGCTTTCTTGTCAACGTTTTCTTGGCTAATCTCGTTGGCATGTCTCCCATGTAGAGGTTTTTCAATCCATCGTTGTAGCTTCTGTTCGTTGGTTTGGTGACTCGGTTGGTCATCTCGTCTACTAAGGTGTAAGGGCGTTGTGTCATCTATTGAGCATATGATGCGATGCAGCTCAGAGATCTCGGCCTTCTCAAAGAAGTAGGATCGCAAGGCGAGTACCTGTTGAGCTAGCTGCTTGCTGATGTCCATTAGACCTCTTCCTCCTAACTGTCGGGGTAAGGTTGTGCGCTCTATTGCACTGCGAGGATGGTGCGCTCCTTTTTTGTTAGCATAGTCCTTACCCGCCTCTCTAGTTTCTCGATGTCAGTTTTACTCCACAGAACTATACCGAACGAGTAGTTCAGGCAGAGCATGCGTAGGTGTTAATCGCCTTGACTAGATTCTTACTATTGAGTTCTGTTTTCAGAAGTAGCCGTATTCTTTTTGTGAAGGTCTGCGATATAGCTTCCTTCATTTTTTTTTTTTTTTTTTTTTTATGGTCTATCCTTCGGCCTGCGCCATTCCAAGGTACTTGTATGTGTCATTTGCGTCCATTGCGTCAATGTTTTGGCCTCTGCAGCTTGAAAATCCTCCAGGGTAGATGTTCCCCCTACGTATAGATAAGGTTTTGCATTTATCCATCCCAAATCGCATACTTATGTCATCTGAGAACTGACCGACTATCTCTAGCAGCTGTTTCATTTGATTCTCAGCACCAGCTATTACCTTTAGGTCGTCCATATACAGCAAGTGGTTCAGTTTTATGGATGCGTTCCTGTTATTATTATTATTATTATTATTATTATTATTATTATTATTATTATTATTATTATTATTATTATTATTATTATTATTATATTATTATTCTGTATTTCACTCCTAGAGGAAGAGATGAGCTTGACCGGAACTCTGCCTGAGTTCTAAGGTCTTTAGTCGGAAAGGGTTTTCCGCAAAATGTGGGCTGTTCCTAGCAGTGCTATCTTTTGAACTTGTGTTGCAAAGACATCTCCGGGGAGTTCTTTTATGTTGTTCTTGAATGACATAGTGGCAGTCCCCAAAGCTCCGATGATCACGGGTACCGTTCTTGTCTTGTCTTCCACATGCGCGATATTTCGATTTCGAGGTCTTTGTATTTTCTGGCCTTTTCCGCTTCTTTGGTGCTGACGTTGTTGTCGTCTGGTACAGATACCCTCAATTAGCAGACATGTGTTCTGTGTTTTATTATGGTAAATAATATCAGGTCGGTTGGCGGAAATCGTACGGTCGGTAATGACTCCTTTGTCGTACATAATTAATGCTTCGTCTGTCTCTACTGCTGCTTCAGGAGAATGATCATACCAGTTGTTGCTAACTGGTACTTGGTGCTGCTTGAGGATAGCCCAGTGTATGTATTTAGCGACGTTGTTGTGCCTTTCGGTGTATTCTGTTGGTGCCAGTGTTGAGCAGCCTGAAATAATGTGGCTTATATGTTCCTCACATTGATGGCATATTCTGCATTTGCTGTCGACATTCTGTTTCAGGACCATTCTTCTATGGTAGCGCGTGTTAAGTGCCTGGTCCTGTGCAGCAATCAGTAGACTTTCAGTCTCCGCCTTCAGTCCCCAGTTATTATTATTATTATTATTATTATTATTATTATTATTATTATTATTATTATATTATTATTATTATTATTATTATTATTATTATTATTATTATTATTATTATTATTATTATTATTCGTACAAAGCTCATTATCCTTGAAAATGACGACTTTTGTAGGTACATTGACTCGCTAATAACTTATCATCAAAAATCAAAATATTTTTATTTTAGAATGGTCTATCCAACTATGTAAAATGTGGCACATTCAAATTAAAAAATATATATATTAGATTCTTCAAACAGTAATCTGTAAAGCTAGGAAACACACAGGAAACTAAATTTTGATAAGCGGGCTGTAATATTTCGGATCATTGCTTGGGAAGTACTGTTAACCTACCTGACGCCATTTTTTCTGAGGCTGAGGGTATTTGCGAGCTATTTTAAGTATATAGGTCAGTTTCATCCATCGTATCGGATGATGAATGTTAGGTATACGGCATATAAACGTAAGTAATAAAATGAACCTGAATAAAATACCACGTTGCTATCTATATAGACGGTGTGACAATTCCAGCTGTGTGAATGGATATGTAGGTCTTTTGTACACCTTCAGGTAACAGTCATTTTATATCAGCGTTGTATGTTTCAGACAATCGCTTCATATAGATATATTTTGAGAAATATATATATATATATATATATATATATATATATATATACATATATATAATATACATGCAAATTAATCAACTTTTGATCTCATATTCCAATCCCAAAAAAGGGCCCTCGACACTAGATATTTTTATGATCATGTTCGAATTAAGCGCCCCAAGTTATTTAAGTGTACCAACAACCCCAATTTTCAACCCCTCTAAAAATCTGAAAACAAATAGCCTAGCTTTTACCCAGCGGCTGTCTCTATTGACGAGATGTGTTCATGCCAGATCAAGTCCTCGGTGATCTGGACTCCGACTAGCCGAAATAAACGGCTCTTTGGCAGAACTCGGCCATCCGCCGAAACTAGTAGTACTGTGTTTTGGAAGCATCAAACTGTACAAGAGTGTTGCGTTTCAAGCAGTGATGACCTCCAGGTCTCTCGTTAGAGAGGAAGTCACTGCTAGTCTTCATTTTTCCAGCTCATCGGCAGAGATCTGCTTATCGCTCTGAATTCCTGAATGTAGAGTGCTGTGATCAGCAAAGCTGTGGATTGAGTTGATCGTACAGGAAAGGAGGTCGTTGATATGTAAGAGGAACTGTGTCGGAGCTAAGACCGATCCCTGGGGAACACACTTTGTGAGATATAGAGGAGAGCCCCCGTGCTAATAAGCTATCAAGCCATGCCGTTCGAGGTAGTCCAGAAGCTCGCGATTCATGTACCTCTTCATCACCTTATAACAGAAAGCAGAGCTATAGGCCTGTATACTGATGACTCCAGACCTACACACTCGATGCCCATATTAATTGAGAATTAACATGTTGGAAGATAAACGTTACTGATTACAAAGAATCTGATTACAAATGGAGAAATTATACTCTATAACGTCTGGACGTTCGCAGGATTCACATAAAATTTAAGTTTTCTGAGTAACTTTGTACGGTCGGTGAAATGTAATTTATTTTACTAGTAACAGAAAATCATTACCTGATTCTGGGAACGATTGATTTATTGTTGCCACATCACTTTAGAAGTTCTAATAACTTATATTAGCATATAGAATATATTTGGCTACAACGCCATCTATGAGGTCTTTATAATAATATTTATTGAAATAACGTACTCAAAATCGTTATCTATATAATAAACATGGAGTTTCAAAGTGTGATTGGGTTCACATGAAAATGAAAAAAAAAAATGAACTTAAATGGGAAAATACACCAACGTTAAATAATGAAGGTATTACCATGTAGTGAAGTTTATAAGTTAATATCTCTCTAAGGTAAGATTAGGCTAAATTTTCATATAAGACGCTACGGTATCTCATTTCATTTCAGATAATTTTTTGACGCGGGAATATAGCATTAGGATTTGTATCTTCAGGTAGAATAGGTTAATCAATGGTTTTTGTAAACTTTCAGTAAACATTTCAAACTATATTATATATATCGTATCGTGGGACTCCTTCGCTAGCCATTATAAATCCTGATTAATAATATCGTTAGCTATTGGGCTCAAAGGAAAAAAGTAACTGTGTATCATCAGCATATTAATAGGTTTCAACATTTTTTACATCTTTCAGTGAGTTGCATGGGTATACAGAAGAGAGTAAGTGGGCAAGAGTAGATCCTTGTGGTTCGTCCGAACGTCCCACATTGTGTAAATCTGGAGCTTCTGAAGTACCTCGACCGTCACGGGCTGATTAGCGACAGGTAGTACGGTTTCCGGCACCAGCGATCCACAGGAGACCTCCTAGCTTTCGTCACGCAATTATAGAGTAAACTCATCCAGTCTTATGGTGAGGCTCATGTTGCTCTCCACATCTGGAAAGCGTTCGATCAGCTGTGGCATGTTCCCCTTCTATGCAAATTTCGATCCTATGGCCTTTCAGAGAAGCTTTGCAGATGGGTGGACTTTCTCTTTGGCCACAAGATATCCGTCGTAACTGATGGATTTTCCTCCTCATCCCAAAAAAGTCAACGCGAGTGTTCCCAGGTATCGGTCTTGACTCCGACATGTTTCCAATTGCATATAAACGACCTCCTTTCCTGTACGATCAATCGAATCCACATCTTTGCTGATGACAACACTCTACATGCAGGAGTTCAGAGTGACAAGTCGATCTCTGACGGTGAGCTGGAGAAAGGTCGACTAGGAGCGACTTCATCTGAAGAGAGACTTAGAGGTTGTCCCTAAACAATCGTGTACAGTTTAATGCTTCCAAAACACAGTATTCTATCTTGACGAACAAGAAGCGTCCTGGCGCTCATCCGGTTTCGATGGAAGGCTGGGAAAAAGCGCTCTTTGCTTAAAGCCAAGAATTACTTTTCTCAAATTTTCCTCGATTTTTAGCACCTCAGTGCAGTGCATAGTTTTGGTCAGAAATGAGTCAGTCAGGTATATGAGCCCAGCCATGCGAATAATAGATTGTGTAATTATTTAAAATCGCAACATAAATTTTCAAAAATCCTTCGAGATCTGTGATCCGAATGGAAACTCAATTCGTAGGTAAATTGGGTGCGTTTTACCATTTTGGCCAACATCACTTCAGAACTTTTTTATTATCATACATTCAAAATTACACAACGGCGCTGACATCTATGAAACTATTAAGCACTATTTTTCAAAAAATGTCAAGTATGTTCGTGCTGTCGTATGTTAAACGTTCATGATGGCACTAACATGTCCAAAATCAATAAATCTTAGCAAGGAAACAGTACCATGAGAATTTTGAATATTTGGCAAACAGGACGTGGGATCCATCTGCAACCCGGGGTTTTTAAGTTTGAAGGAACAGTACCTGCTCTGCGGAGCAACAACCCAAGTTTCGAACATGAAATCCGTAGGAAGTCCGGAGAGACTCTCATCTCATCTGTGCACTGTTCTCCGGTAAACATATGCCCATATCAGTGGCGCATCGCATAAGAGGGCAACATGTAGGGTTATCATCTTACTGTTAAAAACAATGTTATACTGTTTTACTGTATAAAGTGTACAAAAATACTATTACAGCATCACAGACAGGTGTACCATAGGGATACATCCTATGAAAAAGTATGCAAGGAAAAGATTTTCCCGAAATGAGTACTGGTCAAAAGTGGAGATCTGTTAGCAAACACCTCAGAAGAATTTAATAATATTACTAAGATTGTTTCATATCTACTTTCTGTTCCCGCTACCTCGGCATTTACAGACATAGTTTTCTTGGTGATAAATTCAAAGTGGAGAGATGACAGAAATAGAGCTTCATTAAATTTGATAAAAAATGAGCTCCTTATTTATTTTAATTTCAATTTTAATTGTAGTGAATATGAATTTATAAGATTTAACCAATAAAATATTGTGATTGTTATATTATCAATATACAGGGTCTCAAATTTGGCCCTCATCATGAGGATATCGGAAACTACAAAGAACGAAGTTGTTCAAATGGGGTCGAAGCTGCGTAATTGCATAATCAACAAAATGCCGCTTAGAAAGTTTCGAAATTCAATGTACTTCCAGAGAGAGGCGAGAAAGCGAATTTTGCCAAAATC